TGTTGGATGGATAAATATCATGTAGGTTATTTATACAATGGAATATTATTCAGCCATGAAAAAGAATGAAGTCCTGATTCATGTTACACCATGGATGAAAAGAAAACATGCTAAATGAAAGAAGCTAGTCACAAAAGATCATGCATTGTATGATGCAATCTATATGAGTTGTCTGGAATATGCAAATCCATAGAAACAATATAGATTAGTGATTGTCAGAGGCTAGGGGGATGGGGTCAGGAATGACTGCTAATGGGTATGGGGTTTCTTTTTGGGGTGATGGAAATATTCCAGGATTTATTGTGGTAATGACTGCACAACTCTGTGAAGATACTGAAAATCATTTAATTGTATATTTTGAATGAATGAATAGGATGGTATGTAAATTATGAATTATATATAAATAAAGCAGGAGAGGAAGAGGGTAAGGGGGAGGGAGGCAGAGAGAGAGAAACACATGCAGGTTACTGTGGGAATGCATGGAATGGACTGCCAAAAACCAGTGCAAAAGTAAATTATTCCTAATTTTTACCACCACGCATTCTCCCACCTAGAGAATGTTTGAAATGATGTTCTTATAGAGATTTGATGCAGATGTGGAGTGAAAGAAAAATCTCTTTCAAAAACACAATGTTACCTCAAATCTTCCTTCCTCATATCTGGGGTCATGTGGCTCTCTCTGCAGACTCAGTTCTGCCCCAGGATCTAAAATCAATCTTGATTTTGATCAGGGGACATTTATTGATCTCTAGTTCAACGTTCCTAGTATTTCTACTTTTCTGCTAGTCCCGTTCTGATCTAGCATTTACCTGTAAGCCTTATTCTTTAGTGTAATTCCCAAGTTGCCCTTGCTATTCTGGGCCCATGACTTCTACTCTTATGCTTAAGCACTTAGCCTAAGATGGAGTCTGTCTGAACTGAGGCCTTGCCTGCCTTTTTCCGGGATTTTCCAGAACCTGGTCCTTGATTGTGATTGGGTCCTGGACAGACTTCCTGGATGCCCACCCACATTCGGTACTTCTTCTTGCCAGTCCCTGTAGTATTATTGACCTTTGGTGATCCAATATGATTGGCCAGATGCCCTCCACCTATATGCAGGTATCAAGACACAGGACTCCAGGAGTCTGGCTGGACTTCTCCCTCCACTGTTGAATCTGCCTTCTTCCTTTCAGCTTCCCCAGTCCCACAGCGTATGTTCCAAGTCACCTCACCTCAATGATATCAATCTTGCAGAAATAACTTTGTTTATACCTAGATGTGCCATCAGGATAATTTTGGTTTTGACAGAAGTTTATGATTTTTCATTCAATTTATCCTTTGGAGAAATTCAACAGACATACATTTATTAATTCAATGTTGAGGGCTTACTATATGAGAGGTAGTGCTGTAGGTGCTGGATATACAAAACTAAAAAGTAAAGCTCCTACTTGATGATGATGAGGGTGATGATGATGACAACCACTAATATTATATATTTGGATATTCACTAAGTGCAGTTACTAGACCAAGTTATAGAGTTTGATTATCTCATTTCTTTTTCATAACAACCCTAATTTGTAGATCCTGATATTGTATGCATTTTAAAGATGATAAAACTGAGACCCAGGGAGTAACATGCCTATTATTCAAATCTTAGATTATCTAGTTCTTACTACTAAGCTATTAATCAACATTTCATACTGTCTAGAGAACCATGAGAATCCAAAATACTTTGCTATCCTAAAGCAATCTTAGGTTAAGATAACATCTGGTCTTAAAATCTCTGTTGAAAGAACTATGAACAAATAGGCTTCTTACTCCCATTTCTAAAATAATCCATCTAGGACTAGAGTTTCACAAGATAGGGACAGAGACCAGAGATCAAGTTCAAGGATGTTATTAAAGGAGGGAGAAACAGGTGAGTCCTAGATGTCCAAGGAGGCCCACAGGTGCGCAACCCAGGAAGTTTAGGTTCAAAACTATGAGTGAAGACTCCAGAGACTAAATTATGGACCAGTCTGAACTACAGTATTTCTGCATCCAGACAGGGGCTCTGAGAGACAGACATGGGGAACCAAAGTCAAAAATGAGCATGGTGGTGAGTCAGGAGCTCTGCAATGTGAAGAACCTTTAGAATTCCTTCCTAGACCCAATCTGATCACAGTAAAGCAAGTCACAGGTGAAGACAAGCAGGTCACCTGATGGGAGTGGAGAAGTGAAGGGAGGAAGCATTTCTAGCAAACTGGGTATCTGCTACAAGTTAATAATACCGCTCTACATGGAGACTAACCTATATCTGAAACCAGCAAACTGGATTCCACTAAGTGATTCTTTTAGACATAACCGAAAAAGGAGAAAAAATAAACATCAAAAGGACTAGGAAAATCTTTAAAATGAGCTAAAGCAACATTGGGAATATCATAGAACTTTCTAGAGCAGAAATAGTAAGCAGTCTTGAAATTCACACAGAGCAGTGTTTTACTACTTTTGATACGTTGTATTTTCCAAAGGTAGCCAAAGGTATGGAAAATATCTTCTTTTCCATAAATTCTTCTAGAGTCTTGCTACTCCCTTATCAAGAGGTGGGGTCTAAGTCTCCTCTCTTGGATCTGAGTGAGCTTTTTCCTTCTCTGTAACCAATAGATTGTGGCAGAAGTAATGTGTGATTCGTGAGGGTAGGTCACAAAAGGCCACGTGGCTTTTATCTTGCTGGTGGAATATTCACTTTTTAGAGCCTTGAGACGTTATATAAGAATACAAAGATCCTGAGACTGCCTTGCTGGAGAGCTCCATGTAGACATTCTGGTCAACAGTCCAGCTGAGCTCCAGACAACAGTTTGCTTCCACTGCCAGCCCTATGAGCGCACCATCTCAGGCAGGAAATCCCGTGGAGCCTTCAGAGGACTACAGCCATCATCAACATCTGAGTGCAATTTCATGAGAAACCCCAAGCAAAAACTGCCCAGCTAACAGCTTACAAATTCCTGACTCACAAAATTGTGAGCAAAACAATCATTTGAAGCTGCTAAATTTGGGGATAACTGATTATGCAGCGATAGTAACCTGAATGCCACAGAGGAGAGAACAATCACTGAGTTTCCAAGACACATGGTTCATCTCCTCCTATTGTGGCCATAAGGATGATGGCTGAAACCCGGAAGGAGAGACACCAGTGTGGGGAGGAAGGGTCTGAGTCCCACAGGAGGCTACTTTAGGGTCACCAGTCATATAATCTCTCTGTAAAATTTCATGCGTTATTTATGCTATGATTAAACTTTGCGAGATCTCCAAAATGCTTGATTAATTTTTCTCAAGTCTAATTTTTTTTATTTAAGCAAGTTTTCATTCCCTGACTTTAGGTCCAGAAAGTGGATAAACCTCCAAGGTAAGGGCATGGAATTCGCCATTGTGATACCATCAGTGGCTCACATGGGACAAACATATCTGTGGATTTACTTTCAACTCCATAGCCACACGTTAGCGAAGACTCCAGGAATGGATGGTAAAAAGAAACACTCTATTACTTCTACTTTGATTATAAGTCAACTTATTATAAAATGACATATTTAGAGTACATATTTAAAACATATTTGTTTTTAAACTATAAGTGGTTATTCAGCAAGCTATAAATCAGGATTCTTAATTCTATTACCTCTTCCCTTTCACCTATTCCCATGCTTAGAATTTTTGCAAATGAGGCACCTTCTCCTTGTCTCAACTCCTCTTCCAACTAGAGACTCCCATAAAACACACTACCTGCAGAAATCTCAGGCGGGAAGAGATGGAGTTCATCCATAACCTCCTAACCTATTCAGAACACCCTCAGCCAGCAACCTCATTCTCCTTTTGGCATTCAGAGGGCTCTGGTGTGTCCTTTGCCCTCAAAAATGCTATCAACATAATGAAAGTTGAGATGAAAATTAATCACTTGGTGAGCTTCCTCCTGCATCTGTTTTAAAACCTTCTGGGGGGCTTCCCTGGTGGCGCAGTGGTTGAGAGTCCGCCTGCCGATGCAGGGGACACGGGTTCGTGCCCCGGTCCGGGAAGATCCCACATGCCGCGGAGCGGCTGGGTCCGTGAGCCATGGCCACTGAGCCTGCGCGTCCGGAGCCTGTGCTCCGCAACGGGAGAGGCCACAACGGTGAGAGGCCCGCGTACAACATAAAAAAAAAAAAAAAAAAAAAAAAAACCTTCTGGGGGTGGGAGGGACCTGTAGAACCTTGGAAATATGTACTGGGATTCAAGTTGGCTGTACAGTAGTGAGAAATCTGAGAGGATCTATGAGAACCGATTATTAGGGAGAAAGGAGATGGTATTTTTTCTCAGCATTTGAGATTCAAAAACCTCAAATTAGAACAGATATTGTCGCTAATTTCCCATAGTTGTCCTAACTTTCCATGCACTTTCTTCCTACTTACTGCCTTATATTTATATTTTCTAGTTGGGCCCTTTCACCTACAAGATTGTAAGCTTCTTACATGTTTTTGTATCTTAGAGCCTAGAACTAGATCGGGATGTAATAAGAACTTAATAGATTTTTGATGAATTAACACCACTTCAACTTTAAAAGAAAAAAAAAGAGGTCATGAATCTAATGATGCTTGGGAAATATACACTTGGGGGTTTCTATGGAGGCCTGGTTATCTTCACACCAAGGTCCAGGTTTGGCACCTCAGGCCCTTCAGAATGCAGTCAATTTGGATATGTCCTCAAATCTCCTTACAAATAAGAGATGGAATAATAATAATGATAACTAGGATTTGTATGGTACTTTTGTGTTTGTCATATTGATTTTTTTTTTTACTTTGCATTCTTTTTATCCTACAAAGTCTTCAAAATTCAGTGTGTACTTTATTTACAGAATATCTCAATTTGGAAGCTAAATTTTCATTGGAAATATTTGATCTATACTTAGTTTTTGTAAACTATGCAATGATAAGTGTAGACTCACATACCCAAATTGTTCTAATCATAAAAGTTTTCAGCCCGCGCATCGCTGCCGTCACCTCCCCGTGGGGTTCCCTCAGCCCAGCCTGGTCCAGCCCAGTTCCCGGGAGGATGAAGTTGGTGTATAAAGAGAAGCATCCTTTTGAGAAGCGCCGCTCTGAGGGCGAGAAGATCCGAAAGAAATACCCTGACTGGGTCCCGGTGAGAGTAGAAAAGCCTCCCAAAGCTTGGATAGGAGACCTGGACAAAAAGAAATATCTGGTGCCTTCTGATCTTACAGTTGGTCAGTTCTACTTCTTGATCCAGAAGCGAATTCATCTCCGAGCTGAGGATGCCTTGTTTTTCTTTGTCAACAATGTCATTCCACCCACCAGTGCCAGGATGGGTCAGCTATTTGGCAAAACCAATTATTGTCATTTAAAAAATGAAGAAACAGAGGGACTTCCCTGGCTGTCCAGTGGTTAAGACTCTGTGCTTCCACTGCAGGGGCCTCGGGTTTGATCCCTGGTCAGGGAACTAAGATCCCACGCGCCTCAAAGTGTGGACAAAAAATTTAAAAATAATAAAAATTAAAAAAATTAAAAAACTGAAATTCAAGGAGGTAAAACTATTTGCCTAGTTACACAAGAATAAAGTGACAGGGACAAAACAAACTTCTAGAATCCAAGACGCTTGTCCTAATCCTGTGCTCTTTCCACTACAAGCCCACTGTAAAATTCTGGAAA